TGTGAGGGAATGGATGATGACTTGTTTGCAGCTCTGTAATCCATGCTTAGGCTTTGTGTTTCTATGTTGAGTAAGACAGGAAGACCCTGGGGGATTCTGAGTAGAGCAGAGACGTGGTATGACCTAGGTTTTCACAGGAATCCTTGGGCTGCCGCTGCTGCTATGTGGAGAATGGACCATGGAGACAAGGGGGAAACAGGAAGGGGGCGGAAATTACTCAGTTGGTTTGCTCTTGGAGGTGGGATAGGATCCTGACTCTGCCCCTCAGTCTCAGGACAATTATTTGTTCAATCTCCAGCTCTTGAGGGAGTGCCTACTGTGTGCTGGGCACCGTGCCAGGTGTTGGGGACACAGCTGTGACCATGGCACTTAGAATCTGTGTGCTTATGGAGCATACACTGTATTGGGGAGACCTATAATAAATGAATTTTAAAAGCCCAAAGAATAGTCAGTCACCAGTTTATTCAGCCCATACTTTTTTTAAATATATGTTTTTTAAGGATTTTATTTATTTATCAGAGAGAAAGAGCACAGGCTGGGGGAGTGGCAGGCAGAGGGAGAAGCAGGCTCCCCGCTGAGCAGGGAGCCCGACGCGGGACCCGATCCCATGACCTGAGCTGAAGGCAGACGCTTAAGGACTGAGCCACCCAGGCATCCCTATTCAGCCCATACTTATGGAGCTCCAGACACTGTCCTGTGTGCTGTGTCCTACAGCTGCGTTGGGACAGCCAGCCCCCCTGCCTTCCTGGCTCTGCCATTTAGGTGGGGGAGACAGATAAGAAATAAGAAAAATAAGAAAATAAGATAATACGAAAAACATATAATTACAGACTGGGGTTAAGGATCAGGAAGGAAACAAAGTAGGGTTTCTGCACTCAATCTGGTGCTCAGGGAAGATCCATTTCTAGAGCAGAGGTCATTAATTCTACAGTTTCTCCAAATCCCCTGGGAATGGGCTGTGTGCTAAGGAGACACATTCCTGGTACCTTCCCCAGCGACGTTGGCTCCGTGGGGCTGAGAATAGTGCCAAGTGAGGTAGTGCATGTGAAGTGCTGAGCAGAGTTTTGGGCCTGTAATAAACACTCTGTACGTTTGCACTCTTACTCTTATTATTATATGAGGAATATGGGAGCTGAGGGCCAGGAAAGGGGTGGCTTCTAGTGAGGGACAGAGAAATGAGGAAGAACAGAGGAATAAGGAAGAGAGCGCATAGGCACGGCCGAGCTGGAGGGCTAGAGCAGGTGAGAACAGTTATCAGCTCTGGTTCCTGCGTGCACACTGAGGGGGCCAGGCACTGCCACTCACTGGCTTGGTTGTGAACATTATCTCATTTGTTTTTTCCAGCAGCTCTCCGAAGCGAGTGCTAGTTTTCCAACCTTTAGAACAAGTATAGCAGGGTTCTGAGGGGCTGACTCGTTTGCCCAGGTGCCCCGAGGGAGTAAGGGGCTGAGCTGGTATTTGAACCAAGTGGGTCTAGGCCTAACACCCAAATCTGAATACACTACGAGGCTCAACCATGCCTTGCGCTTGAAGCCCGCTCGCTTCCTTGTCTTGGTGTGGTGGGAGAACAGACACTGGGAGTCAGAATTCTGGCTTCCCAGTTCCGGTGCCATGACTTTCTGGCTGTGTGACTGGAGGCAAGTCACTTAACCCTGTCTGAGCCTCCCTTTATCATAAAACAAGAGTCAGTAAACACAGGGCCTTTGGATGAACCAATACCACCTGCCGTGCGCCCGGTGAGGCCCAGGGCCCAACACATAGTAGGCCCTCAACAATTCTTGTTGCTGTTATTATTGTGAATTTTGTGTACCTGCTGGAGGTGACCTTAGCAAGCCCCTTACCCTCTCAGCCCCTCCTTGTTTGCGCGGGGCGATGGATGAAATGAGAGGGTACTCATTCAGCTCAGCTGCCTGATGAACAACGGTAGCGATTATCATCCACTTGGCTTCCCCGCTTTTCCAGACATCGCCCCTCACCTGCGCCCCCTTCTTACCTACCTGGGGTGTTTTCTATTTTTATTACTACCATTACTACTGTATTTTATGGATTCTAAGAAGTCAGTGATAATAAGGTACAGCCTTATCTTATTTCCCACGAACAGATTTTGTCAGTTAGATCGTGACATGCCACCCGTTGTAAGAGGCGTCCACCTCTGAGATGTAAAATTCGGGGAAACGGGCGTTTCAGAACGGATGCAATAGTTCAGGGGCTCTGACCCGCAGACAATGGGGCCGCGTTTACCAGTCGAGACCACAAGGGGGCGTGCGTGCGGCAGGAGGGAAGTGGTCCCTAGGCTCCGGGAGGATCGGGCCGCCGCACGCCTCACCGCCTCCCATCCTTGCCCTCCCCTCCGCCTGCAGACGTTGCTCAGGAACCGGCAAACCACACTCCAGGAGCTCTCCAACCATGAGGTCTTCCTCACCAAGCTCAACTGGGAGCTGATCAAGGCCATCCAGGACATGGAAGACAGCTCGGCCCTGAAAGTGCGCACGATGCTGTATCGGCAGGACATCCTTGAGGTGAGGTCCAACCGCCCCCGCCCAGTCTTGGCCTCCGCCCTCTGCACCTTGGTCCTGCCCACAGGCGCCGCCCCCTTGGGCCCTCGGGCGCCCTCTCCTGGCCTCTTCCCGCCGGTTGCGCAAGCTGCTTCCTCCCTCTGGAAGATGCATCTCTCCCGCGCTTCGCCCCACTCAGCTGGGCTTTGGAACCGGACCGAAATGGGGGCTCATCCCAACGCCAGCATTTATTAGCTGGGGGACTTCGAGTTAACCTCTGAGCTCTGTAAAACAGAGCACAAAGCACCCACCGTAAAGCGGGTGTTGTCCTTGGCACGCAGCAGGTGTACCAACCCCACCATCAGTACTCACACAGTGTTGTGTATGCCCATGTAATTCTGCCAACAACCCCGTGGGGTGGGCACTATTATCTCTATTTCACATAGGAAAAAACGGAAACAGAGAGAGGCTGGGTAACTTGCTCAAGGTCACCCTGAAGCCTCACTCACCTAGCAAGGGTCAGAACTGGGACTTGAACGCAGGCCATCTGGCTCCAGGATCTGGCTTCCTTCCACCGTGCTGTGGTTACCACCCTCACCCAGTGGTGCTGCTCCCAGTCTACGGGTGGAGCAACTTTTAACGAGAACCCCAGAGGCATCCTCTGCCTCCTCTGGGAGAGGCTTGGGAAAGCTGCCGGAGGAGAGCTGGAAGTTCACAGGGGACCCAGGAGTTGGGGCTGGAGGAGAGGCAGAAGAAATGGTTTCATGGAGCAGTAACGCCCTCTGGCTGCCCAGGCAGAAGAGGGACTGAACTCCCCGGACCTGTGAGATGAAGAGCAAGCCCGGTCTTGGGGACTTAGTCTGCTCAGGTGACCATAACAAAGCACCATAGACCAGGTGGCTTACGCATAGAAATGTACTTCTCATAGTCTGGAGGCTGGAAGTCCAAGATCAAGGCGCCTGCAGGGTTGATGTCTGGTGAGGCCTCTCTCCTTGGGGTGCAGATGGCTGCCTTCTCTCTGGGTCCTCACATGGCCTTTCCTTGTGCTCACATGGAGAGAACTCTGGGGTCTCTTCCTCTTCTTACAAGTACACTACTCTTACCGGATTCCGCACCCTTTGGACCTCATTCAGCCTTTATTACCTCCTTAAAGGCCCTATCTGCACAAACAGTCATATTGGGGGTTAGGGCTTCAACATATGAATTTGGGGGTACACAGTTCAGTCTATAACACAGGCCAAGGATTGCAGAGTCATTTAGCCCAAGGGAACTTAGTAGAATATTCTCCAAACTTAGACAAAATCATTGTTGATCTTCTGGCATTGATCCATTAATATAATTTTTGTTCATCCTGAGTGCTCCCTGTGGGCCCTTGGGAAACAGTGATCGGTGGGACCCTGTCCACATCAAGCTGTCATTCTAGTGGGGTCACAGGCGGTTAGAAAGTCATTTGTGTATACTGCCATGGGGATGGGGATCTGGGGAGCTGAGAGGGGCCTCTCGCCCAGATATGGGAGGGTCAGGAAGGCTTCCTGGAGAAAGTGATGCTTGGGTTGAAACCTGCAGAAGTAGGTATTAAGTGGTAGAGAGCAGGAGAGTGTTCCAGGCAGGGAAAATGGGTGCAGAAGGCCCGTGGAGAGAGGGAGCATGGCCAGCTCAAGGAGCCACATGTTGGCGTAGGCCAGCTCCGGGAGGGCCTTGCCAGCCAAGGTAAGGAGTTAGGGCAGAGGGGAGCCCCTGGAGGGTTTTAAATAGGGGAGGGATAAGGTCAGCTTTTTTTTTTTTCATTTTCAAAGAAAGATCATCCTGACTGTGGCGTGGAGCAGAGATCAGAGGAGGACCGGTTAGGGGTAGCTGTGGTGGTATTTGAGGCAGGAGATGAAGAGAACTTGACTTGCTCCATTTCCGACCTGGGCCGGTTCACCCATCCTTAGGCAACCTGGGGGTCCCCCGCTCCTGGGAGGTCACCATATTGATGCCGAACTTAGTGCGGACACAGCGCACTACAGCCCAGAACTCCTGGGCTCAAGCGATCCTTCTGCCTCAGCCTCCTGAGTAGCTGGGACTACAGGCGTCCACCACCGCACCCGGCCGATGAAGAGAACTTGAATAAGACAGTGGCAGTGGGGATGGAGAGAAGGACATGGCTTTGAGGGCTGTTAGGGGTTAAATCCATTGCACTTGGTGACATTTCGAAGGAGGGCGGAGTGGGGACCGCTGTCTGGGTTTGGGCCAGTGCCTGGGTGTGCGGTAGAGCCACCGCTGGGGTGGGTGGTAGGAGAGGGCCCAGTTTGGAGCGGCTGGGCCGGCCTCCGGTCAGGTTCCTGGGTCTGGGAGTGGGTTTGGATCTGGGGAAGTGCCGAGTCGCCCCAAGAGCCCATGCTTCGGTAGTGCCAGGAGAGGTTGTGGGGCGAGCTGACCCCGCCTCTCCCACAGACTGTCATGGATATCTTGGAGTGCTCGAACAAGAAGAAGCTGCAGAAGCTCAAGTATGAACTTAAGGAGTGGGAGGAGAAGGAGGAGTCCAAGATGCAGTGTAAGAGTCCCTGGCGTGAATTCCTTGATCCCCTCCCTGGCTTCGGGGAGGTCAGCAGGGCATTCATCTTGCACCTACCTTTTGGAAACCAGTAGGCCCAGCATCCCCCCTGTTAGGCAGATGGAATTGCTAAGATGCAGAGCTAATAGCTTACTTCTCGAGCACTGAACACTGAGCACTTCCAGGCCCCCCCGAGGCTTCGTATGTATGGACACACTCTCAGTCATTGCAACTACCTGTGAGGCAGGGACTGTTCGCCCATGTTACAGATGAGAAAGCTGGAGCTAAAGGAAGTGTGGTAGCCTGCCGAAGGTCATAATAGCTGGGAGCCAGGATCCAGCCCCAGCCTTCCCCTGCTTCCTGCCCCTGTCACTGAGTCAGCGGCTCGGCCAGGTCCCAGGTCTTCTGGCTTCCATTGTGCCGAGCCTGTGGTTTCTTTCCCTGGAGCAGACTGGAAGCCTTCTGAGGGAAGGGGTGGTGTGTCAGACCCTGGGGACACCGCCCATGGAGGGCATCAATGCAGACTTTGTCTTAATGGTCATTTCACGGGAGTCTGTGTCGCCCCATCTCCCTGGGCTCGTTGCCGTGGGAGTGTGTGCATGAGGAGACTGAGGTCCAGGGAGGGACAGTCTTGGCGAGGGCCACACAGTAAGTCAGTGGCAGAGCTGAGACTCGTCTGGGGATCTTGCCCCGGTTTAGTCTCTTTCCTACCCAGTGTTGCCTCTTCTCCTGCGGGGGTAAAAGACTCTAGTGTGAGCTCACTTCAACCAGACCCCAGTCCATTGGCCAAGGAGAGCTTTGCCTCCTGGATCTCCTGGGAGGGGTTCTTGAGGGAGGATCCTGCCTCCTGTCCCTCCCGACTTCTCTAGCCCTGGCGCGGCAGGTGGAACAGCTGAATGCCAAGATTGAGAAGACCTACAAGGAAGTGAGCTTCCTGAGCACGTACATGGACCACGATTATCCTGTCAGGTCGGTCCAGATTGCCAACCTTGTGCGCCAGCTGCAGCAGATAAAGGACAGCCAGCAGGTAGGTAAGCCCCTGGCCCTGCCCCGCTGGACCGTACTGGAGACAGGCTGGTGGCCCACACCCTCCTGCTGGCCCCTAGGATGAGCTGGATGACCTTAGTGAGATGCGCAGAATGGTCCTGCAGTCTTTGTCTAATCAGATTCAGAAGAAGAAGAAGAAGCTTCTGAAAGCTCTGGTGGTGGTGAGTGGTGGGTGTCCAGGTCCTGCCCCAGCCCTGCTTCCTTCCCCGTCCTCTGCCTCAGGGCCCCCTGCACCCCCCGCTGGTCTCGCCCAGGCACTGCTGCCCGGGGAGAGGCGCTGGGGGCCAGAACTCTTCTCCCTCCGCAGAAAAGCCAGCAACCCCATCAGGAGGCTCTTCTGCAGAAGACCCGGGACAGCCAGGACATGCTGAAGTGCATGGACAAGTTCAGAGAAGTGCGTGGGCACGGAAGGGGCCGGCCCCTCTGTGAGGGAGCAGAAGGGCAGGCCCCAGGACCTGTGGGAGTCAGGCTTGTCCTGATCTGGCGTCGGCCTCCCTCCTAGCTAGTGCCGTTACTGTCCCTTGCCATTCACCTGAGAAGGAGGTTAGTGTGGGCCCAGGCCTTGCCTCACTGGCCAGCATCAGCGGTGATGACCCATTAGCAACATCACCAAGCGTCACCCGCTCACCCATCATTTTGCTGTCGTTACCACCCCCTATCTTCACCACTTAATTCTCGCCACTGACCATCACTCGTTAGCTGTGTTAATGAACTTCACCGTCACCACCCACCCCCCCGCATTCATTTTCATTATCAGCCTCCATCCACTGTCAATGTGAGTGACCTTCACCGTCTCTGCCAGCCCCCATTCATTCTCATCATCAGGTACTGCCCCCCTTTGCCACCTGTCTCCATGCTCCACGTGTTCAGCACCATCAGATGTTGGCCCTAACTCTCGAGCAGCCCTCCAGAGCCCAGGAGGCCCCTGTGACCAAGCCGTGCCATCCCATGCCTAGATGGCCTCCCTCCTCGTCCGGGTTGCCGTGTTCTCCCTTCTGTTGGGGGACATTGGGCTCCTCACCCTCCCCTGCTGTGCTTCTCCCCTCAGTTCATCAACCAGTTTGAGGAGGAAATACCCATATTGAAGGCAGAGGTGGAGCAGCTCCAGGTCCAGGTCCAGGAGCCCCGAGAGATCATATTTGCGGACGTTCTGCTTCGGAGACCCAAGTATGTGATCTGTTTTGGCAGCTGCTTCTTAAACCTGCCATGCTGTGTCCTCGAAGAGGCTCTCTGTTCCCAGGGAAGGCAGCCTGGTGGAGAAGGCAGAACCCCGGACGGGGTGCAGGGAGACCTGGGTCTCGCCTCAGCTCTGCTGCTGACCGTGTGGCAGACGTGATCTTTCCCGTCTCTGGGCCTTTGTGTCCCATTAGTACATGGAAGCTGAGTTACATAATCTTTTTGGACTCTTCCGGGTCCCAGATTCCATGTTTCCATGGACCCCTAAGCTCCTGGGTTGTTCAGGAAGATGGACTTGAGTAGGGTGGCTGGCTCCAGGGAAGAAGGGCCTGGAAGACACTCTGTAAGGAGAGAAGGATGTCTTCTGTGCCCGGCAGACTCCTGGGCCCCAAAGGAAGAACTTCCTTCCTTCCAAAGCCAGTTCTCCGCCTGCCTTTCTTGGGTCAGGCCCTCTGTGGCAGAGCTTGGGGAACCCACGGGACCAGGCGTCTCCAAGATGTCACAGAGGCCCTGGGGCACCTCAGTGCAGAGCCCGCAGGTAGACGGCGGACCTCAGAAGACAGATACTGGCTAGAGATGGAAATTTGGGCATTGTCTGTATAGAGATGCTTTTTCTTTTTGCTATTATTATGGACAATTTCAAATATACAGACAGTAGAGAGAATATTTGGATGAATACTCAGTTGCCCGTGTGGATTAGAAGTTATGTTTTTGCCATACTGGCTTCATCTTCATTCCTCCGCTTTTTCTCGTGAAGTACTGTACTTTGCAGACGTCCTGACATTTCACGCCTAAGTACCTCGGTGGGCGTCAGGAGAGTGCGGAAACCACGAGAGTGGATGAGAGACTTGGGGACAAGGTGGAGAGAGCGTGTGATCCTGTGGCCCCCTAAGCGTGCTGGTCCCTGCGATGGGGGCTGTATTGCAGGCAGGAACCCGCTGTTCTCGCTCCTTCTGTGCAAGGAAGGACACCTGTCAGTTACTGAGCACTTCGTCTCACTTAGTCTGCCCGCCATAGATCGAGGTTGGACTTACGCCCATTTGGGCAGTGAGGAAGCTGAGGCTGCTCTGGGCTCTGGCACACAGCGAGCGCTTGTTACACACGTGCCAACTGAGGGCGTGGGGCTCCGAGGGGAGGTGTAAGCTCAAGGTGCCATGCAGCCAGGGGTCCAAGCCGGCCGTTCTGACCGCAAAGAGAGCGCTGGTCGTGAGAGGGCCCGCATTTCAGAGCCGAGTGCCTGCTCCCTCTTGACCTCAGACCTCTGGAGGGGAACATTAATCATGCCAAACCCGTGCCTTTTTCATTTTTGGTGTGTGCGTGTGTGTGCGCACACCCACGTGCACACCAGTGTTTTGGGATGGGGCTCCTCAACTAAGTACCAGTGTTCTGAAGAGCAGGGTGCCCCCGAGGGCGTGCTCCCCCACTCTGCAACCCTGGTGCCCCTGCTTGACTTCTCACATCCTCTTTGCTCTGCCCTACCAGGTGCACCCCAGACATGGACGTCATCCTCAACATCCCGGTAGAAGAGCTGCTACCCTTCTAGATGTTGGGGCCAGGGGCCAGCCTTTCCTCCCTGCTCTTTTCCCCATACCCGGAGCCTTGAATTGTCTTCTTCCATGACCGCATGCCCACTCAGAGCCTAGTCTGCTCTCCCTCCCTCCCCTCCTTCCCTGCCTCCCTTTCTTCCCTCTTTTCCTTCCTTCTTTCCTTCCTTCCTTTCTTCCCTCCTCCCACCCTCCCTTTCTCCCTCCACCCTTCCTCTCCTTTCCTTCCTCTCTCTCTCCCTCCACCCTTCCTCTTTTCTTTCTGGTTGGTGCCGCTGCTTGGGCCAGGTGGGCATTCCCAGTCAAGTCTGCCATTCCTTTTGACCAATAAAGCTGGATTTGCATTTGCTCTTTTACTTGGAGATTTCCAGCTAGGCCTTGAGAAGAATGGACTTTGTCTTAAGATAAGGGGTGGGTAATGTGCCTGGGTGGCTCAGTCGGTTGAGTGTCTGCCTTTGGCTCAGGTCACGATCCCAGGGTCCTGGGGTCGAGTCCTGCATCGGGCTTTCTGCTCTGCGGGGAGCCTGCTTCTCCCTCTGCTTCTGCCTCCCTCTTTCTCTCTCTCTGTCTCTCATGAATAAATAAAATCTAAAAAAAAAGAAAGATAAGGGGTGGGTAACTGCGCTGACTGTTATCTGGGGCCCAGGACTTCTTGAGAAGCGCCGAGCGAGACTAGCTTGGGCTGTGCTGTTCCTGGTGCGGTGGGAGCCCAGCTTCCCTCCTGATTTGTGCTCACACCTGTTGAGGCCTGTGCCAGGGCAGAGAGGGGACCCCCCGAGCTGACGCCCCTGGGAACTTGCCGGGTTTTCTTCGCTGATGGCCATCCCTCTTCCGGCCCATTGTCTGTCTGTCCAGTGCCTGTACCCCAGGTTTGCGTGGATGTGAACACACACTCTTACTCAGATGCAGAGTCAGGCACAGCCCCCCACCATGTGCTGGCTTGGAGATGTGCTGCCCGAAGCCCCCTTCAAACAAGGACTGTTGCTGCGGTTACTGGAAGCGCCGTGGGCACGTGCCCTTCGGCGGTCAGACCCTGCAGAGAGCCACCTCATCCAAGGTCAGTCCCCTTCTCACATCCGATGACTGCTCCGTGTGCAAATACCAAAGGCCCAGCCCTCTTGGCCTCACTTGGGACGCCTCTGAAGGCCTCTTCTGGCTCCAGCACTCCATGTAAGGTCAACTGAAACTGTCCCTGGGCTGGCATGACGGCTGACTTCTCCCTCTGCCCAGACCTGCCTGCTTCTGCCGTCCTCCGTTGATTCCCAGGTGCTCAGTAGTCAACATCCTGCACTTTGCACTTGGCCTCAGGGCCGCTTCCCTGGGGACCCAGACTGCTGCAAATCCTCAGACCCTCTGGCTGCTCACCGATCCACCCTGCCTACAGAGAGACTTTGGGTTACAGGTTACAGGACACCTGACCAAATTGCCCTAGACAATAAAGGGCTCAGGTAAATAAATGTCCTACATGAGGCGAGGCTTTATCCAGACATCAAGTGACGGCACCAAGGCCCAGTTTCTGTTTCTCTACTTTGTTCTCCAAGGTGTTCTCCTCCTCCTGAGGCTGGTACTCCTGTGGTCGCAGTATGGCTCCCAGCATCTCCTGGGGGGTTGCAACTCCTTGTTCACGTCCTGCTGGGAAGAGTGTCTCTGCTCCAGAATTTTCAGCCAAAGTCTTCATATTCACTATGACTGGCCTAGCTTATATTGTATGCCCACCTTGAACTAGTCTAGGAGCTGGAGAGTGCCTACTGGTTTAGTCTAGGTTACGTGCACTACCCTTGGAGCAGGGGAAGGGTGGTTGAGGTGGAGCTTGTGACCTAGGTTAAGCCAGTAGGCACCTTTAGAACCGTATGGATTGCAAAACAGAAATGAACAATAGTTTTTTTTTGTTT